GTCTCTATCTTCAGGATTCCCCCCTTATCAGTGGAGGCTGCATCTCAAGACCCTCTGTGGAGACTAAAACTGTAGATATTACTGAACCCTTCTTGTACTATGTTTTTCCAATACATGTATACACAGGATAAAGTTTAATTTACAAATTAAGCCCACTAAGAGATTAGGAACAATAACAATAAAGTGAAACCATATGCCACAATGAGAGTGTAACCTTTGGGGACATTATTAAATAAAATAAGATTTGCCTGAACTCTGCACTTACATATCATGATAGTCACTCAAATAACACAGAGAACTACCAAGTGACTAACAGGAGGGCAGCAGATGTAGTGTGGATACACCTGATAAAAGGAATCATTCAGAGGACAGAACAAGACAGGAGATTTTATCATGCTACTCAGAGCAGCACACAATTGAAAACTTGTTTATTGCTAGAATTTTTCCATTTAATATTTTTGGACCATGGTTGTCCACAGGTACCTGAAAGTTCAGAAAGTGAAACCAAAAGTTGAGTGTGGTGCCCCACACCTGTAATTCCAGTTACTCAGGAGGCTAAGCAGGATCACAAATCTGAGGCCAGCCTACTTGAGACCCTGTCTCAAAATTTTAAAATCATAAAAAAAAAAAGCCTGGATATATAACTTCCCTGAATTCAATTGTCCATAACACAAAAGAAGAAAGGAGGAGGAGGAGGGAAGGAAGGAAGGAAAAAAGAAAATGAAAGAAAGCAAAATTAAGGATGGGGTGAGGGCACAATCACATTCTGTTATCTCTCTTTTTACAATCATCTCCAAATCATGATTTTTGAAGTAGGACTCTGTTAGCTATAACCAAGGTAGTAGATCTAGTGGCTTGAGAAGTGACTTGTTATTTTATTTCCACATCTTACTTTGTGGGGAGCTGGTGGTAGGGATTGGGTGGGGTTGGGAAGGGGTGGCAGTGGGAACAGGTAGGTAAGAAAACATCCCCTGGAAATCTGATGATTTGCTGAGTCTCTGTTTTGTAAAAGGAACTAAGCCTTTCTCCCAGTCATTGAAGACACGACTTCCACTCAATCTTTTTGAACCCGTTTCTCAGATATAAAATGGAGACAACAGTGTCTCCCACAGCTATCTCACAGGATCTTTTGTAGAATAATCACAGTAACAGGACGCTTCAACTAACTGTAACTCAATTTCTTTGTATGAACCTAACATAGTAACTACAGATGACAGACCGATAAGAGATGGGATTGGCGGGATTTGTTCTATGTCCTCCATGAATTATGTCTCATCCACAGCTGCTAGTCCTGACCAGGAGCCCAAACCCTGTTCCGGCTTTCATTTAGAGGGAGGAGGATTTGCATCGGGTCTGTGGTCTTTATCGCCACCCAATGGTCAGTAGGCTAAAGAGCATCAAATTATCAGCGGCTTTAAAAATGAATTCAAAGCAAACCATCTATTACTTTAATCCACCACATAATTAAATGTTATTTGGGGCCTTCCACTTGAAGAAACCCAATAAAAATCAAATACTTATATTGTTCTATGAATAGTTCCTGATTACAATTGTAAATTTTAAAACGTATGTTATATACACAGATAAATGTATAGAAATCACTGGAGAAGCAGATAAATATATAGAGATAAATGTATGTGTACATTAATGTCTAAACAAATATATAAATATATAGATAAATATAAATATGTGAAACAAAAATCTGTAAAAACAAACTCTTACTGTCTGAAGGCATTTATAAGAGTCTCCAATAAATGCCTTTATTTGTTAAAGAAATGAATTTTTCACTTGGAAGGGGAAGTGGGAGGGATAAGGGAAAAGAAAAATATGAGAAAAGGAAAAAATGGAAAGAAACTCTTCATAATATGGAGGGGCGGAGGAGCTGAAGGGAGGGCAAGGGAATGGTAAAAAAAATAAGAACCAAGATACATCATATAAAGGTACAAATTCCCCATGATGAATGTCATCATATTGTACACCTAAAATGTACCAATAAACTTAATGAAAAAAATAAGTAAATAAATAAAATGGGGTATAGCTCATCAGCAAGACACATGCTTAGCATACACAAAACCCTAGCTTCAGTCCCAAGTACCAGATAAAAATATTTTACCTACAGATACAGGTGAAATAGTAAATACTAAAATCAAATCATAGATTTAAATTTATGTCCTCACATGGCAGAGAGATCTCCCAGCATCCCTTTTTCAAAGGCCCTAATCCTATGGAATTATGTCCCCACCCTTACCACCTCATTTAACTTTAATTTCTTACCCCAAATACTGCACAATAGAAACACTGGGGTTAGGGCTTCAAAATGTGAACTGGAGGTAGACAAAAGGTAAAAGCCAGGAAGGAAAAAGGATCCTGTTCAAGGATGGAGTAGCAAAGCCACACCTTCCCTCCCACCCTTCTACACAAACCAACACTCAGATGTCCAGGGCACCAGAGCTTGTGGAAGAAGAAGGGGTAGAGGCGAACTGAATGTATTGGGTTTCTCCCCTGTGGCAGGCTTCAGGGAACTTGCCTCTCTTCTAGGAATTCCCACAGTAACCTCACCAGAAAAAGACTGTCCCATTGCACCACTGAGGAAATCATGGCACTGAAAGGTTAAATAACCACGTCAGACTATACCCTGGGTCCTCTAGGGGAGGTGGGATGTGAGCAGTTTTCACTGAATTAAAATAGCCCTGAGATGGGACAGAAACCATGATCTAGATCAGGGGACCACTGCCTACCAGATTAAGGATTCCATTGAGCTCTGGAAGGTTCTCCTCTGACTCTCAAGCTTCTCATCAGTAAAACAGATGTGGTGCTTCAGTCACAAGGTTATTCAAAGGATTAAAAATAAGATCACATTTGCAAACTGCCTGGCCCAAATCATGGCTGATTTCTCTCCTTGGCTCCCCTCTGAGAGCCCACCCTGAGTTGGGAAGGCTGCTTTGCTGGAAATAACTAAGCATTTGCCAGTTCCCCCAGCATGAAAGATTACAGGGAACAAAATGAATGAAAACTACACTCACTTTCTTCTCCCAGGCAAAAGCTTTGCTCTCCTAGTCGTAAGACTTTGAAGCCAGTCAGAGAGGTAGTGAGACAGATCACCACCATCTCCTCCGACCTCAGAACGCCAGGCCTCAGCTGTGTTCTCCTCTCAGGCCCTGGCCTCACCAAACAGAAGAGCTGGTGGATACCCTTAACTCCTCTAGCTCGTGCCCTAAACCCGCCAAGCCTCTCATTCCTGCCTCCATAGCATCTCTAGGGTGAGTTCCTGCTCTGGATGCTCCCTGGATGGCCTGCTTGGGGTACTGATGACTCTCATCTGCACGCACACAACAGCAGCCCTTCCTAGTCAGAATGGTCTCTGAACAGGTCCATGCTACTGCCCAGTGTCTTCCTCAAACTAGCTGTATTAGTCGGGGTTCTCCAGAGAGACAAAATCAACAGGATGTAGAAAGAGATCAGCAAGGAGTGGACTTACTAATTATGACAACAGAGAATTCCGATGACATACTACATGCAAGCTGAGGGAAGTTGTGGCTGGCGCAAGTCCTGGAGTCTAAGAGCCAGAGAATCTGGAGTTCTGACATCAAAGAGAGGAGAAGATGGGTGTCCTGGTACAGAGAGTGAATCCATCTTCCCTCTTACCTTTTGGTTCCATCCAGGACCATAGTGACTGGATGGATCCCACCCACACTAGGCGAGGGAGGATATTCTTCCATCCACTGATTTAAACACCAATCTCTCCTGGAAACACCCTCACAGATATATCTGGAAAAATAATATTCTGCGGGCTCCTCGGGCGCCCCTGAACCCAGTGAAGTGGATTGCTACAATGAACGATCACAACAGCCTCAAGAATTTACTTCTTCGTGTGGCACCACCCCTAGGGCCGACTTTGCTGCCACCCCCAGCACACCCTGCGCCCTTTCAGGTCCCACCCCCTGCACGTGCCTTGCACTGCCCCAGGGCTCCTCCTCCTCCTCTGCCTAGCAAGTTCCTGTTCATTCTCCTCCCAACAGCTCAAGTGTCACCTCCTCTAAGAGGCCTTCACTTGATTTCCTCAGGGGAAAAAATCGCTTTATCCTGATTTCGCTACATTTTGTTGATAATTTTTCACGTACTACCATTAACTGCATGCATTTGTATTCCCACCAGATTGTGAGATCCTAAGAGCAAGGGCTGTGTCTTACTCTTCTTGGTATTCTCAGTGACTAAATAACGTTCAATAAATGTTGATCGACAGTGAGGTCTCCCTTTATTGTGAATAAAGCTCTCTATATTATAGTTAAAACAGCCAACACTCAATTTATACTCAAATTATCTACCTTAAACCACTCCTAGCCCTTTTTGAGTTTGTTTGTCTGCTTGTTTTGAGACCGGATCTTGAGTTCCTGGGCTCAAGCAATCCTCCTGCCTCCACGTCCACTGCAGCTGAGAATATAGGCATGTGCCACCACGCCCGACTCCTCTTCACTGGTCTTTCTAAATAGGACGTCTCTGATGTTAAGTCTTAGAATTAAACTCCATGTTGTCGGCTGACCGGCACAATGACTTCCACTTACCCACACAGCTGCCACTGTGACCTGGGCCCTCGCTATGCCTGCTTTTTCATCCGGGATTGGAATAAGGAAGCTGCACCTGGACTCGTGGCTTACATTGTTTTCTTAGATGTTTGGGAGTCTGAGAGGGTTAATAAGCAAATCAGCCTCACTATTCAAACATGCAGGGTCTAAATCCTGAAAAGGATTCTCATCACAATCCCCCAGCAGAACCTGTAGGCAAAACCGATGCTTTCCCTAATGCCCCCTAAACATGAAAGACCACTTTCTATTCCACAGTGGCCTGTGTGGTTAGGAAGACCGTGGGCACTACTGCCCCTAGGAACACATGAGCTTCTCCCCTTGAAGATTTCCTGACTCTATGCAAACGATTCTAGCAAGAGGAGGAGTCAGATTTGGCAGCTGTGTACGCCCTCTTTAAAGAAGGGTCTTTCTGCCACCATGTTACTTGACCTTCTTATCACAATCAGGCCACTGCAGAGAGCATCCAACTCCAGGGCAGATCACTCCTGGTAAGTCTACAGGACTAACCTGAATAATTTCCCTTTAACATTTTTCTCCAGGAGCTGGCTGTTCTCAAGCAAGGATTCTGACTAGCCTCTGGGAATAGCAAGATCAAGGAGAGACTAAGGACTCCGTGATCATGGTGCTATGCTGTCCCTTTTGTTTCTTCCCAGGGCAACAAGTGTGGAGAGAAGGCAGAGCTCTCTGCTCCTGGAGAGAGCCTCCTTAGAGATGGAGAAGCCGGACACAAACGCCTCAAAGGATCAAGATCACTGCCAGTTATCAGAGAAGTACAAGCAAATCTACCTCCCCCTAACCTACAGTCTCATCTTCATCCTCGGGCTCCCCCTGAATGGCATCGTCTTGTGGCTCTGCTGGCGCCAAACCAAGCCGTGGAGCGGTGCCACTATCTATCTGGTGAACCTGGTGGTGACCGACCTGCTTTACGTGCTGACACTGCCTTTCCTCCTCGTCACCTACGTCCTGGGTGACAGCTGGCCCTTTGGGGAGCTGTCCTGCAGACTGGTGCGCTTCCTCTTCTACACTAACCTCTATGGTGGCATCCTGCTGCTGGCCTGCATCTCTGTGGACCGCTTCCTAGGTGTGTGCCACCCACTGCGTTCACTGCCCTACCGGACTCGCTGGCATGCCCAGCTGGGGGCCACCACCACGTGGGCCCTGGTGCTCCTCCAACTGCTGCCCACACTGGCTTTCTCCCACACAGACTACATCAATGGCAAAGTGATCTGCTACGACATGACCAGCCCAGGGAAATTCGACCAGTATTACGCCTATAGCATGGTTGTGATGCTGTCTGGCTTTGTCTTTCCTTCCTTGGTCATCTTGACATGCCACTTCCTGATGATCAGAAGCCTCACCAAGCCACAAGAGACCCTCACAAGGACAGGCAAAGTGGCCCGGGCCAAGTCCATCCGGACCATCCTGCTGGTGTGTGGCCTCTTTGTCATATCTTTTTTGCCTTTCCATATCACCCGCTCCTTCTACCTCATGGTCCACTTCCTGAGCTCACAAGACTGCCAGCTCTTGACGGCAGCCAGCATAGCCCACAAGATCTGGAGGCCTCTGGTGAGCATGAACAGCTGCCTCAACCCCATTCTGTACTTTCTGTCGGGTGTGAACAATGGAGTCAGGCTTCTCAAGAAACTGAGGCAGAACAAGGTGGATGAGCACCCAGCTGGAGCCCCAGGAAGGCTGCCCAGGGCTTTGGAGATCTGGGTACTGCCAAGGTGAGGTCTGGGAAAATGAGGTCCATGGCTGAGCAGGACTTGTCTGAACAAGGACTAGCGTGAGGGAGTGGGAAGGGACTTTAGACTTCACAGAAAGGGTCCTGCTGAAAAGGATTTTACACTGATGTTAAGAAATTGTAACATATGGATATGGAGGGGCTACCAACACTGAGAACTGATCTTTTTCTCATCACTCGGGTCTCAGCTCACATGTCACCTCCTCAGCAACTCCTGCTGCCCATCCTAGCTAATGCTACCTCTTCTCCCATGAGCCAGTCACTCGCTTTTATTTCCTCATCTGCTGTCTTTGCATCACATATGGCTACCAATTCTCGTCATCACTGACTTATGCTCCGTCTTTAGGACGAGGACTTCATCTTACTGCTGAACGCAAACAGCCTCTCCTTCTGACAGCCCTGCAGAGTAGATGCACACTAGACAGAGGCTGAATGAGTGAATGGCAAAATGAATGGAAAGGAAGTGAAGCCCTACTGTGTGAGAACCTCTCACATGGGGTCATTCATTCCATGCCCACTACCCCCGTGGGGAGTCTGAGGGCTTCGCCAACCCCACTTATAGAGAAGGCTGAAGTACAGAGTGTTAGGAACGTGCCCAAGCCGACCAGCTGGAGGATGCCTGGATAACAGGGTGGAATGGGCTGGGGATTTAGCTCAGTGGCACCACGCCTGCCTCACAAGCACAAGGTCTTGAATTCCATCCCTGCTTCCAAAATAAAGAGGGAGGAACGGAGGCTCCAAACCAGGCAGTGACCTCTGAGGCACTTGCTCCCAAGCTTGAAGCTCAGGCCGCTTTCCAGCACCAGTCAGGAACTAGGCCAAGTCTTCCTCAACAGCAAAGCTTGTCATTCTAGGGCAGCTGGTTCACTTAACACTCACTGTATCAGCATAACTTGTGCTCTTTTAATGCAGTTTTTAACCAGTGCTCCAGCTAGGAAAAGCCCTGACTTTTGTCTCAGCTTAATGCATACACACAAGCACGCACCAAAAAAAGAAGCTTTATCACCTTTCTATTCCTTATACGAAAAATCTTAAAAATCATTTAAGAGCCAAAGCAATCCAGAAAGATAACCTTTTTTTAAAAACCTCCCCTATTTAAATAATGATCCTAAGGCATTTTCAGAACGAAACATGAGTTATCTAACAATTCACTATAACCTCCCTATGAAGAGGTGAGTAAATCCTTTTCGTAAGAACCAAAGTGCAACCCCTCATTACTAGCCCACTCTAATTATGGGAAATGTGTGAGTAAACCATGCATGTGTCTAAAGTATAAAATTTTATTCTGAAAGTACAGTTTATTGCTTTCAAGGCCAAACAGTAATTAGAACTAGATTAAGTGTTGCTTAGCAAAATTCCTCAGGATAACTGGCTTAATGAGTAGGCAAAGATGTTTTCTAATTAGCAGGTCAGCTGTTTCCATGTAAATGTTTCTACAGGAGATGTAAGAGCTAAAAATTGTTTGCTCTTTTGAATATTCTCTCAGTTCTTTCACTTGCATTGTTAATTTCCATCCCTTTCATGGCGCAGCATACAAGGAGGTTTCAGCTGCCACCCCTTGCAAATAAATAACATTTCCCATTACTGGAGAATTAGTACATCATTGCCATCTCATCTCCCACTAGGGATTTACCTCTATGCCCATCACCCTGTCAGTCCCGGAGGTGAGAAGAAAACTAACCTGCAATCCTCAAGACACACTGCCTTCATCTCAAAAGTACTTTATCTCTGAAACCCACAGCTTTAAAAAGAGAGATTTACTTTGGATCAGATTTCAGTCCACAGTTGTCGGCTGGCTGCAAGTCAGGATGGCATGGCAGAGGGGCATGGTGGAGGAAAAGCTGCTCCTATCACCTGAAGCTGGGACACAGAGAGGGAGAAGAAGGACCAGGGAGGGAAAAATACCCTTCCAGGCCACCCCCGAGTGAACCACCTCTCCCGACTGGACCCCACCTCCTACCAACACATTTAGCTATAGACTCATCAGTGGACTAATCCACTAACAGTACAGGATTCCCATGATCCAGTTACTGCCCCAGAGGCCTACTATGGGCTCACGAGGCTCTGGGGGGTTATCTGCATGTAAACCATTAACATGGCCGAAGTTTGCCTGCCTTTAAGTTTTGGTTAACATATGTTGTTGTTATTATCTCTATGGTCCACATAAGGCTAATTTGCTTCTTACCTACTTCACGGCAAAGTATAAGAATCCATTTTTAACTTACTTCTGGGAAGTCAGAAGTTAACTCAGCTGGCATTACATCCTTAGATTTCAGGGACAGGTATTCGTGATACTAGAATTAGATGAGTCTTTTTTTTTATTGGATGGGAATATAAATGGATTTTTCCCCACTTGCCTTGGGATTAGCAAATATCCACCTAGAGAAAGGAACAGAGAAACAAACAAAGTATTGCTGAATGTACCCATTCAAGTTCCACCCCTACGGGGAAAGCAGGGATCTTCAGGCCAATTTACCTGTGTGTCCTCAGCAGCTTCCATAATATGCTTGGCCGTCTGGACAGGTTAAACAATGAACGTCAACAAATAGCATGTTCAAAAAACCACATCTGAAGATATATATAACCACATATAATAGATGAAGATATAATGGCTATATCCTCTAACAAGTGTCAAACCTGGTCTCCGTCCATAGTTACAAATGATTGAAGAAACAGAACATTAAAATAAACAAACAACTATGAGCACTCAGTAACAGTTTAGGCAGCCAGAAAGGAAACCATGTCCTTTGTCAGTTTTCAAAATAAACAATTCAGGCAGTGAGCATGAGAGACGTTCCAGTGGACAGGGTGAGGCAGCTAGGCTGGGCGGGGCATGAGTCAGGGCCAGGAGAAAGCTACAGGTGGGAGAGTCACCAATGAGAAGGGTTCCCCAAGCAGTGGAGAAAACGGAAAGATCAGTGCAAATAAATGGAATGTGTGTGACTAGCTGGGTCCTGAAAGGGAGATATTGGAGACACGTGGGAAGGTGGGCTGACGCGTGATCACAGCGCCTCAATAAAATCAGCAAAAGCACCACCCCTCAAGGCAGGGGGTTCCGCCTCTAACATTTGAGCAAAGCAGTACGATCCGAGTTGTGATTTGGAAACTCACCCCGCCCCAGATCCTCAGTTCCACAGAGTGAAGTCAGCACCCTCATGCTGGCCTTCCAGCCCCGTCCCAGGCCAACCCCAGCTGCATCCTCCACTCAGTTCTTGTGCCAAGGCACTGGGGTTCCACCCTCACTTTTCCCAGCCCCACCATCTACCACTCTGCACCCTGCACAGGCCCTTCTCCAAAGGCTCCTCTCCCACAGACCCTGGGCCCACTCAACAGTACTGATTCATCCACTGGCCTTGCCACATGGGAGGACAGGCACCTTTATCACCCTCGGTCTGTTTCAGCTCCTTCACTACTCCATCTTCGATCTGGAGAACACAGCATCCTAGTAACACTCTGAGCAGGTCAGACAGTGAGAAATGGTGAAATGAACACGAAGAAGTGGAAGGGGAAGACAATCCGTGTCAGAAGACCACTGCCATAATCGAAATACACAGATGATGGGCAGAACTATGGTGGCATCAGTAGAGTTTACGTTTGAAAATATCCTGGCAAGAAAGAAGAGCAGGAAAATGTTTAGGCGTGATTGGTTCAGAAGACACAACAAAAACGACTCAGGCTCCCACCTGAGAAATGTAAAGGATGACGAACTGACATGCAGCACAAAGTAGACAGGGCTGGGTGGAGAGAAAGGCAGGGGAAAGAGGCAGGGAGAGGGGGGGGGG